CACTGGGTTAAAGTAACAAGGGCCTTGCAGGGAAGCTTATGGGATGAGTTACAAAGACATGGAGAAGCACAAACGTATGGACTAACTTTATCTTTGCATTCCTTTTTCTTATATATTCTCCTCTTGCACCTTTGTTTATCCAGTAAAAGAAGCTCTGAGTTGTTGGGTTTTAATTAATCATCACTTTTTCTTCTTTCCTGTTAGTGCACCAGAATTCGATGTATCCGAAATAGAGACCCTTTTCTCTGCTATAGTACAAAAACCGGTTGATAAAGCTGGAGGTCGACGAAAATCGGTTGGGGCAAAACCTGAAAAAGTTCAACTGGTAAGTTTGAATATTCTTGACCCTTGGTTATTGCCAGAGATTATAACTTGCTCTTTTCTGGTGGAGGCTTTGGTCTGATGTAGTTATAAACTAATGACAGAAATCATTAATTCGCTATGATTGCCTGGAATCCGAGTACTACTCAAATATCTGTAAAAGATATAAAAAAATTGTACTAAGATGATCACTATAAGCTACTCTCCATCCTTATCACTCTTTTTTCTACTCTGCTTGATGTATGGTTTTCCTTATGGTTTTTCCAGATTGACCTTAGGAGAGCCAATAACACTGAAATTATGCTTACAAAAGTAAAGATGCCGCTACCTGATATGATGGTAAGCTCCAAAACCTACTTTACTTGAGTACAAGTCATTACTGATTAATCTCTTATAGTTTATGATAATTGTTCACAATTTTCTTTGCATCATCAAGGCTGCAGTTCTGGCAATGGATGATTCTGTACTAGATATTGATCAAATAGAGAATCTTMTAAAGWTTTGCCCWACCAAGGAGGAGATGGAACTTCTTAAGGTGACCTCTTTTCTTTTGAGTAGCATTATTTACTTTTGTGAAATATGTCATTATTCTTGGTTATCATTATTCACTTGTTATTGACACGAKYCCTTAATCTTGGTTGTAATTGACTGGTTTTGCTGTAGAATTACACTGGTGACAAGACAACCTTGGGAAAGTGTGAGCAGGTCTGTTTAAGTCTTGCGATTACCAATCTCACACTGTTTTTGGTTCCTACTACTAAAATAGTTTGTACAATTTCCTAAGTTAATGTGTTTTCTTCTCTCATCCATTTTGTTTTGTTATCGCAGTACTTCCTTGAGCTTATGAAGGTGCCACGAGTAGAATCGAAGCTGAGAGTATTTTCCTTCAAGATTCAGTTCGGCACTCAGGTCTTGTGATATTACTTATACTGTTATATTCTGTCTATCTGATTCTTTTGAGGAAAAAGTTTGGTTTCCATCAGTGTCTAAGTATTGTAGATTCTTGGTCTTATTGTTAATGATGATTACTGTGCAGATAACAGAATTCAAAAAAAGTTTAAATGCGGTAAATTCTGCGTGTGAGGAGGTAATATGCTTAAATAATTAACTCTAATTTTTGTGCAGTCTATATGCATTTCTCTTTCTTAGACTTTTTCTCCTCATTGCTTGTTCATCAGGTCCGTTCTTCACAAAAGCTAAAAGAAATTATGAAAAAGATTCTTTACCTAGGGAACACATTGAACCAAGGAACTGCTAGGGGTAAGCATTGTATTATTCTTATTTCCTTAAGATATACGCAATAAATTTTATCTGTTCAATGTGGGCTTGTTCAAGAATGGCACATTTATTCATTGCATCATATACTTGTTTTGTCTGAACGCAAAACCTTTGTAGTTGATAAGACCCTTACTCTTCTTTCTGCAGGCGCTGCAGTGGGATTCAAATTAGACAGTTTGTTGAAACTAAGCGATACACGTGCTGCTAACAGCAAGATGACTCTCATGCATTATCTCTGCAAGGTGAATTATAATAGGGAAAAGGGAGCCTCTAGTTTCTGACGATAAATGTTTTAGAAATTGTCTGGCTCAGGAGGGAAACAATATCCTGAAAATATACTCTTTCTTTCTCCAGGTCCTTGCTTCCAAGGCATCAGTTCTACTGGACTTCCCCAAGGATCTTGAAAGTCTTGAATCAGCTTCAAAGGTTTGCGTTTGTACTTTTCCCGTCCTCTACACCTTAGTTGTAATCAGCTCATCATTTGACTGTCCTGTCGAATCAGATACAATTGAAGTCGCTGGCTGAGGAAATGCAAGCTATAATCAAAGGATTGGAAAAACTCAACCAGGAGCTCACTGCATCCGAGAGTGATGGTCCTGTTTCTGAAGTTTTTCGTAAAGTATGTTGGTTTTCTAAAATTTCTTTTACATATCTCTTTATCAATCATGAATTTGAGATTAGTTCCGGGATTGTGCCACATAACTAAATTATCACCATATTGTATAATCAATACCAGTTGGAAACTGATTCTTCAGCTGTGTTTTGTCTTTAGACACTTCCGGAATCTAAAATCTAGTTTTATGTTTTTGATATCAGACATTGAAGGACTTCATTTCCATTGCTGAGACTGAAGTGGCAACTGTATCGAGTCTTTATGCCGTCGTGGTAATCTGTCAACCTCTACAAGATTTCATGCTCCTTACCATTGACAATGGGTTTTGATCCTGAAATGGTATTCTTTTTGTTGGCTTTTCAATGGACAGGGAAATAATGCTGATCAACTTGCGTACTATTTTGGCGAGGATCCCAAACGTTGTCCATTTGAACAAGGTTTGGCGCGGAATATAAACTTCATCCTCTTTTGTGCAATACATTATTAAGCCATTCATTGTTAATATATAGCTAATAACAATACCTACCGGGTGATCAATTGCTGCAGTTACTGCGACCCTCTTGAATTTTATAAGGTTGTTTAAGAAAGCACACGAAGAGAATATCAAGCAAGTGGAGTTGGAGAAGAAGAAAGCTGCTAAGGAAGCTGAAATGGAGAAAGCGAAGGGTGTCAGTCTCACAAAAAAAGCAGTTGATGATAATAGCTGACCCAAAAAAACCTTAAATATTTATTTTGCAAAATCCGCCTTAATCACTCAAGGGAACCAAGGTGGTTTTGTATGCCAGCGAAGGCGGGTGCTGTTCAAGTAACCTTTCCGCAAAGGACGGAACAGGGCAGTTCAAACAGGCTCGGGTCCTAATGGGGAGCGAGTCGCCTGGGCGGGCTATCGAGGAAGCATGCAAAGATAAAGAGACAGGTCTTTTCTCAACTCACGTTTACATGACTGACTCCACATTGATTCATTCTAACTTGTAAATTAGAATTCTTTCATGTTTATTCTTCTTCCTGATTAGAGGAATTTTTGGTAGATTGAAAATGTTGTATAGGTTTCAGGTAGAAGAGAGAAAGAGAGATGTAGATCATTTTGTCTATTTAGTGTGTAACTTTGTATCGTACCACAAAATTAATGTTCTTATTTAGAATTCAGACTAATGAACAATAAAAAAAATCCGAATCGTCAAGCTTTTAATCATAAAATTTCAGATGGGAAAAAAAGTTTTAGCATTCTTGATAAAGAAACAAATGATACCTTTCTGAAATTGAATTGTGAGTTAAGTTAATCAATAATTTATTTGTTACATTTAAGAGAAAATTTCTGGTTGATAAAACTAATTTATACATTTAAAGAAAAAAAAAACTTTAAAACGAAAATGTAACGAATCAGCAAAAGCAAGAAATCTGATTTTCTTTGGATCCGATGTTTGAAACTTTCATGGATTGTCTTCTTCTCCGACTGTTCCTTTCTCTCTTAAACAAACCCTAACGAGTCAAATCCTCAACTGAGAAAAATGTCTGAAGACGACGATCTATACTGTGAACAACACCTGATTGGTCCAATGGATCCAAGTTTGTCAATGGTTGTCATCAGAGAATCGACCGAGCGCGTTGTTTTCCCGCCGATCAACCACGAGAATCTTCAGGTCGGGTCTTCTTCCGTTCATGGAGTCGATAGTTACCTCGACTCGCAATCGGAA